AAAACAGCTGCGTTTTTCTCCAATGCTATTTCTACAGTATTAATAAAAAATAATTCCTTTTAATATATGTAACTAACTATGAGACAAAATGTATGAATTATGGAGAAGGAAATAATTTCTTAAAAGGTTTTGCTACAGTGGTTTCATACAGCAGTGTATAAACACTGGTCTAACAAGGGTCACTGTGCTTTCATTTGTTTACTGATACACAATACAACAGAAACTTTCCACAGGCAGAAAGAACCAAGAGTTATGACTGTACCTTAGGCTGTAAGTTGGATTCCTTAAAAATTTAAAAGAAGCTTGCAAATAGCTTCTAAGGATCTCAACATAAACGTGCGAGAACATGGGGTTAGTACTATGTGAAAAAGATTGGGAAAGTATTTGAATAATGAACAATTTAATTGTCTTAGACCTTTCCAAAAAAACACTATTGAAACTATTGGAAAAATGTATTTCATCAAACCGTTTAAGCCAAGGATAAGCAACTCTGGTCCTTAAAGGTTGATGAAGTAAACTTTACAAGCAATATTTCATTTCGGTGACATTGTATAGTCTAATTAAGCCAACGTGTTTTTTTCAAAGACCGGACTACAAAATGTTTCAACGAAAGAGAGTGCAAGTTTAAAGATAAAGGTTCTTATGTGTGGGAAGATGAATGGGTTGTTGGCTACGCAGGTCAGAAAAGCCTGTCTGCACCTCCTCCTTCTTGCCAACTGGATACAGGTGGTGCTGCCTTGAATTTGTTGTTTATATGATCAAAACTTGGTTTAGCGTTTGATTTAGTTATTTTTCAGATCAGAATCTGGAGATCTAAGATGTTTTTTAGAGCTACTCTTTTATATGCTGTGCCATGGGATTGTTTAGAAATTCTGGTTTGAAGGTTGACTGCCTGCTGTTGGAGTGCCAGCACTATGTACAGTAGCAACCTGGTTTTCCCAGTATTGACAAGGCCCAGCCTTGTTTAGCTTCTGAGATCAAACACGATCAGACAGCAAGACGATAGCAGTGCTGTATAATAGACAGCAGACTAGGCACTTTTATCATGTTCAGAAGTGGTGCATGATTTGAAATTGTTGCTTAGGGTCATAGAGGAATGTAATCTTTTCAGAAACGAGAAGCTGTTTCTTCACTAAAATTAAGAGTTTGATACAGTACTTCAAAGGGATGAGTGATGTTGATAAGGTGTTTAAATGAAATAAGATGTGTGCTTGTGATCTAACCAAACACACTTTGTCTCTTTAGGAAGACAACACTTTAGGAATCAACACAAAAAAGCTTCCCTTCCATTCTTGGAATAAATGTCAGCATTTGCCTTCTTGACTGTTGTTGAGAGAACCAGAGTTCAACAGCCACATGACTTGGAGGGAAAGGGAAGTATCGGCATTTTCACATTGTTTCTGTCATGCCATCTGACTGGGAGCAGCATTGTGGGAAGACTCAAGTCACTCTGCAGCGCTGCTCTGTATTAGAGAAACGGCCCCGTGCATGAAGATTTTATTAGTCTTCAATAAGACAAGCTTCCAGTTGTTGAACCTGAGCTGTGAGTCACTTTGTCAGCACTTGAGCACATAATTTTTCACAACAAGTTTGTGCTCCCCAGTAGCCAGCCTACGCCCACGCAGTCCGTCGTGACAGACTTGCAAACAGTGAAGCCTACTTGCAGGAGTGTCTAGGTGCCGATACTGTAAGAAAAAAGGGTATTGCTTTGCCCAGTCCTTCAAAATCATTAATTTATTCTGTGGCTGGTAAAGGAGCTGTAACGAACAGTTCTTTCCGGACCCTATGCGGACGACAGTCCGATGGAGTGGGGAAACACTGGGGAAACGTCATGCAGGAAAACGGGGCTGAAGACAGGGGGGCGTGTCCAAGGTGCGCTGGTGCACGGGGGAGGTGTGGCCGAGGCGAACAATCCAAAAGAGAAGTCCTTAGGGAATATCCAAAAACACACGAGAAAGTCCAAAACCACGAGATCCATCAAAACACGAAGTTAAAACCACGAAGGCCGGGTCAGAACCGGCGGACAGGGAACGGGACCAGGCGCTTCCAGGTCCCGGACTCGCACGATATGGAAATCAGATGCAGAGCCCGGATGAGCGTCAGCGCCTGGCTTTTAAGGTGGGCTGGGAATAGGGAGCAGGTGCATAGAATAAAGTCTCACGTGAAAGGGCTGGAGCACCCTTAAGGAGGGGGGACTATAATCGTGACAGGAGCACTAAGGTGATAAATACAAATCATATGAATCACAGGTGAAATATTGTAGGTGTTTTTTGTGTTGCTTTTTTACTACGGTTACGGCGCTTTTCATTTGCCCTGTGCTACATCTAAGGGTATCAAAAGAAGACAAGTGTAGAAAGAGAGGTCCTAAAGTTGTATTCATGTGGAAGTCAGTTTCTGAGACAATAGATCATTGGAAGAAAACACATAACTGAGATGTTTACTTAAGCTTTTCTCTTGGTTAACATTTTTCACATCTTAAAGGAAACTCCTCTTATATTTTCTTCTTATATTTTTAGCTTCTCATTATCAAAAATAGCACATCAGTTTTACTATGTACAATATCTTTACTGTCCAGTTCATTTCTAGTACTGTATGGTGTTGTGCCTAAAATTGTATTATTGCTGTACATCTCCATTTATGGTTGTAAGGGTCCCTGGAATTCATATAATTTTTAAATGGAAAGAATTTCGCAGTGGTTTACAATGGATGCTGGAGTTTTTCCTAAAATCTCATAATAGTGAAATCTCCCTGATCGAAACTATTTTTGCACTCCAGTGTGCTAAATAAGGAGCACCTACTGTACAGGGCAGAAGATTTAGCTGAAGAAAATGTTTCCCAAGCGCGGTGGAATCAAATAATGTTGGAGCTTTTTCAGGATGAGTGTAAACTGATATCATTTTAATTTCTGCTCTTGCTCATACAATGGGGTAAACTGTTTGCTTCAGATCAGATTCATGAGACCCTTGTCCTAATTGCAGATTTCCATCTTTTTTCTATTCTAGACAAATATTTTCCTGTCAGAGGCCTGCTTCCATGCTTGACAGCCTAGAAATGGCAATCAGGCCTGTAATTATAATGTAATGAATTAAGATCATGATAATTAGATGTTAATATGGGATGACAGCCTGCAAAAGATATGACATGGAGCTGATGCACAAGAAATGTTAAACTGAGCAATAACTTAACAATAACAATAAAACGAAAAACGAAGACTTCAGTGATCCTTCAGGCTCTCTTCAGTGATTGATGCTGCCAGACGGAGACTCTTATTTTCTCTTGCAACCTCGAGAATAGTTTTTTAATATTATCGTTTTGAAATCTGTTTATCATATTTTTTACTTAAATGTGCTCATTTCTACCTATTGCCCATTGATTATAACCTATTACCCATCCTAAGTAAACTTGTATTGCTTCTTAAATAGAAAAACAGCAAGGGAATATTCCCCCAAAACTCCATTTCACTATAAATTAAATATCTTTGCAGCGGTACATCTTACACAGATGGAATACTGCATGTGCTTGAAGTTTCTGGAAGCCGGGAGCGGTACACATCTCTACATTAGCTTTAATTTAAGCCGTGAACCAGGCTTCTACTATATAAACCTCCAGAGATGTTACAAAAAATTTGAGGGGACATCATGGCAGATGGAAATGGACTCTTTTTCCAGAGGCGAGAAAGCATTAACACGGACACATTTCCACACTACCCAGGAATCGCCCTGCTTATCTGTTCCTGCACCCTGCATGGAAATACCACCTTAAACAGAATCAGTGTGCTCTGATGGGGTGACATATCTGTGTAACTATGCAGAATAACTCCACAGATTTGATTGACTATACCAGTGGTTAGTACACCTCTGTAGAAAATGTTCTATTTTATAGGAATTAAAGCTCATTATTTGGTTCATCCTCTGAGTTAGATAGCGGAGGCAGTGTGGGGACGCCCTTTGTCTGAATTATTCTTTCTCCACAGCCAAGGTTTTTTTCTTGGATAATGAAAACAATGAGAACAGCTCAGTAAAGGCCTGGACCATTATCAAGTACATAATGGCCACTGTGTCAGATATTGATGCGTTTGCACACAGACACACTTTATACTGCAGAGATAAAAACACATTGCTATATAGAATCAGCGAAAGGTAATTTCACTGTTCGTCAGATAAGCTGACATATAGAGGAGCAAAAAATAAAAGACCTTAAACAAAAGAATAAAAGTGATTAATACAATATATATAATATGTTGTATGCACACACATACTGTATAACATATTAATAATGTAGCAGTTAGTCAGTTGGTCTGGTTTCTGCTTTGGTTTGGTTTCATTAAGTATTATTAATAAACTAAATCTCTTCAGAAGTCAATTTAACCATTTCACTGAACTGTCGCCAGGTACTGTATGTTGATGTTTTTTTTTTTATTTCTTTAAAGCAATTGTAGGTTTGCCTTCAAATTACAGTGAGGCTTGGGCTTGTGCATACAGTAAGTTCTTGAATTTGTTTAATATGTGTGATTTTTTTTTAAAGGAGAATAAAAGCTATTATCCCAAACCCTCTAGTTTAATAAATGTATCATCTCAGTGGTAAAAGGCTACATTATATTTATATTATATATTATACATAAGTATTGAAAACAATGCTTTTGAGTATACAGTACAAATAGGAAGAATCATATGCTATATCAGTATTTCCCAGATAATATCCTATGGTACAGTTTATTTTAGCTGTTGTTCATATCAGCAGTAACATGTATTCTAAATAAATATAATATCACAGCCGGGTTTGAAAATAGTGACTTGTATTACAGTCATTCCACTGGCGTTGCATTACATTATACTTGTTCAAAAGAGTTAAAAGGATTTGATTAAAAAAAAAATACAGCTAGACTGAACCAAGACAAAAAGTGTCTTGCATTCGCAACTTGGGCATTAGGTAAGATCTCGGTCTGACTTCGCTTCCGCCTGGACTAACCACGCGTGCGGCCGAACGGTAGCCTTGAGGGTCTCCGGCGTGACATTTTCTAGACGAAATAAGTTTCACTTAACTATACTTAGATAATTCTGGTAAAAACAGGTGTACGATACGCAAACTATTCGCTCGCCATACACGAATGTTCGTTATTGTGATTCACGTTTCCTCAACGAGACGAATCAATCGAGTGAAGACGGCAAAACGTTCAATGCGACACTGTAGTCGTTAAGCAATCATTAATGCACAAACTCGCTTTTTGATCCTTCGATGTCGGCTCTTCCTATCATTGTGAAGCAGAATTCACCAAGCGTGGGATTGTTCACCCACTGATGGGGAACGTGAGCTGGGATAAGACCGTCGTGAGACAGGTTAGTTTTACCCTTAAAACAGACAGTATGTTGGCCCCCTATTAATGAATTGTTTGGATTTGAAGTCAGACAACTGTATTGAGCCGACTTTCTAAAAATTTCCAAATCACATTAGACTTAATAATAATAAACTGGATGTGCCTACAGTATTACATAAGCAATGCATGCTTTTGTCTGTTTAAAAGTTTCAATAACATATGCATTATTATATTCTCAGCTGTGAATGCAAATGTGACCCACAGTAAATACATAACTACGTGTGGTCATGTTGCTATTTTATTAGTTTTCCATTATTAATCCTCTGTTTTTTAATTGCCAGTTCAGTCGAACTGATTTGATATGATGTGTTGAGAAATTAAAATCAGTGTTACTGTTTTAGTGTTTTCATTTTCCATTAATTATTTCACCGTTGGTGAGATGTTTGCTTATACAGGTAAATATGGAAAACATTTTGATGTCACCCTCTAGTTTTACTGCTTAATCAACTACTATAATCGGATTGTGATAATTCAGTACAATATGAGAGTATTTTGCCAATATGCTTACTGACCATTTACTGTGTGTCTTGATGCTTTTTACTGTGCAAAAATCGACTACTGTACTGTATATAGTACTGCATGTGACCAGCAGCCTAAGCTCTCATCAACTAAACTGTTAATATATAATATTTCCTCTAGGAGTTACTCAGAAATGTTATCCTGATTGTCAGATTTGCCATGTGTCTTTTTATTTTCAGTTTAGCTTCATGCATGATTATTCCTCATGTCAGTAATTATTCCTATGAATACATTGTGCATTGGTGGTATGTTGTTTGGTCATTTGGTCGAAATGTGTTAGGGAGGAAGTGTACCCCTGCAAAGTAATACAATACACAATAGATGTGTTGTACTGCATTCATTTAATGTAAAAATCTAGTTCCTAGCAACAGTATGTAATGTAGAAGAATGTTGTCATACCGTTGGAAATGAAATGAAAAGTAGGTCACAAGTGAATCACACTTTCCCGCAATGTTTTTTTTAGATATTTTTGGATATGCCAAAGATTAGCACATTGAACACACCCTCCCATCGCTCAGAGCATTGACGTTGATGCTCAAGAGACACTCCAGTTTGCTCAGTGTGTTAAAAGAATAGTAGGCACATCAGTGGTGACATATATCATATATCTAAATTTCATATATTTCATCCATTATATCCCACACATTAAAATTAATTAATATTATGACAAATATGCACTACTTATTACATGTGAGGAAGCAGACATGTGTAAATTGCCCTTTTACAGTGACACATTGAGGCATACAGCTGTTTCATTGCTTTGGGTTTTTTTTTTATTCATTTGTACTGATTTACTAGATTAGATTAACCAATTTTATAGGCAGCTGTTTCCAAATCAAAGGGTTATCAAAAGCCATGTATTTCTTCTTTATCTGTATAGGCACTGGTATTTTAATTTATCTTCATATGGTCATTAAAATTGGGTACAATTGCAAAGAGCATAGCAGAGGTACTTGAAGTGCTCAGCTAGCCCACAGCTTCAAAAACACTCATCAAACACACGTGTAAAAAGACAGCATTTAACTCCAGTGATACAAAAGCTCTTTGTGCATCACGTGCTTTAGTTCTGTACAGGATGAGTGTGTGTTCTAGGTGGCATGTGTAGCTAGAAAATGAATAGACAATCTCATAAGAACTGTTTCTTCAAATTCTGTACATAAAAAAGCAGGTGCAGTAGTGTACAGGCTTGGAAAAAGAGGCAGTTCTTTATGCAAAGAAGTGGTGCTGGGGTGGAAGGCATTGTCAAAGTGTGAACGTGTGACAGCTGACTCACTGTGTCCCGCAGAGGCGCCTGGGGGAAATACACAGGCTGCGCACGATGCTCTAAATGACTCCTGACTGCTGTTAATGGTATACCCATGCAGTAATTGTAGAACAGCACAAGACCGAAAATGATTAAAAATGTATTTTGTGGCGAAACTGTAAAAGTACTAGCAAATGAATCGACGGAACAGTCAAAATTGCAGTACACTTTGAATGCCAGGCGTCCCTACCAAGGTCATAAGCTAATGGGTTTCTTTCTGAAAAAAAAAAACACAGAGCTGAATAATCAGTCATGGGGTCTGTATCAGCAGTCCATAGGACCGGAAAGCAACTTTTACTTTCTGGCGTTGACTTGTCTAAGGGTCCCGACTGATAAGAGGCATCTTGAAAACGAATCTGACAGCGGTGTGCATACAAGACTTGGAGATATAGCTCATAATATAAAAACACTTCCAACTGCGAAAATTTAAATGAGCAATTTAATCTGCAGATTTAATCAATTTAAATGTAAATCTGCAAATCTACAGGCAGTTGGAAAAAGCCATGTTTTAGGATTTGTTCAATACTCTTTTGAGACCTTCATTAAGAAGATGCTTTTGTGCATAGAAATTAAGTTTTACAACACCTGTAGTATGTAGGTACATTTATAAAGGTTATTGATATCAATTGTAAAGTATGCATAGGCATTTGTACAGATCTGTGGAGCGGGGGCCATGATGGTGAAACACAGAAGTTTTATAGAAACAATCAGAGATTTCACTGAAGTGATGGCAGTGCTTTGTATAATTCTTCGCCAAACACCAGCAAACCAAAAGGATACAGAATTACATTATGTTCTTAATAATGGAATTAAAATAATTAGTAAACAGTCAAATGCATGTTTTCTATTTTATGTTCCAAGACAGATGCAGTTCATTTACAGGTACACTGATTCTCTTGTAAAGTGCTGGAATGTATTTTTGAACTTAAGAAAGATACAGTAGGCTGCCAATTTGGTTTGCCTTTTTGATGTTTTTAGTGCAGGGAATTCACCTGATTTGTCTTTTCAAGGTACTTATAAAAGTCCACTTCTTGTACGTGATAAATTAAAGCTTTTCACCAGACGCTTGAAGTTTAGAAACATATAGTGAATGAAGTGAGAGATACTCTACATTTCCCCTTTTGTCTGACTGTGGAGGTAGCACTTATGCAACCATTAAAAAAAATCAAACAAAACATTGTCAGCCTCTTGTTAATGCCTCCTGCTTGCCTGCAGACACTCAAGAAGTTCGCCTGTTACATTCAAGAGTTGAATTCTGAGCCTAATGACTGGTTTGGCAACATTCTCACTGTGGACTTGGAAAAGCAGCTCACTTTGAATACTGTAGGCAAGGATGAGCTGATTGTACTATCTAGTGACAGTTCTCTGAAAGTGAGATTTCAGTAACTTGTGTTCACTACATACAGTACATTTTAGTTGGAGGTTAAGAATGAGTGCCAAGTGTCGTCAGGCAAAGCTTTAAAAGTAATTTTGCCATTTTATACCAGAAACAATGTGATTAGTGAAAGTCTTCTTTCAGAATTTGTAGTTCCAATGTTCAACTCCAGAATTTAATACTGTCACGAACAGTTCTTTCCGGGCCCTATGCGGACGACACGATCCAGAATAGTGAAGACACAAGGGGAAAAATATCATGCAGGAGTCGGTCAGGAGACAGGGGGGCGTGTCCATGCAGTGCTAGTGTCCGGGGGGAGTGAATCCAGGGCGAACAATCCAAGGGTAAATCCAGAGGAGGAATCCAAGACGAAAGGTTAAGTCCAAGACCAGGGGATCCATCCGTAGTTAAAAACCAGAACCGGGTCGGGACCGGCGGGACAAGGAATCAGGAACATGAAACTAAAACCATAACGGAGCCAGACGCAGCAGGACCCCGGGCTCTCACGACACGGAAATCAATGAGAAGCCAGGAGTGAGGTCAGCGTCTGGCTTTTAAAGGGGAACGGGAATAGGGAACAGGTGCAGACAATGGGAAGGAACGAGGAAGGGCTGGAGCTCCCTTAAGAGGAGGGGTTAGCGATCGTGACAAATACCACACGGTACAAACATGAAATCGGAATAAAGGAAGAATGCATTAAGTCTCCATTGATATTGGATAATGGAAGCACCAAGAAAACAGTGACAAACTGCACAAATCACCTTACTAGGCAAATACATCTGAGGTAAACTTATTACCCGAATCCAGATCATTGATATAAATTAGGAAGAGCACTGGTCTCAGTACAGATCTTTGGTACACCAAGTATTACATCATTGCAATTAGAGCATTCACCCCTTAAACATAAACTCTGTAGTCACAGAGACAATTAAGATTTTTTGGCAACAGATTATAGCTGTGGACTTTACGCATAAAACATAATGGACACTCAGGTTCATAAAATAGGATTCCTGGAACAATCGGTACACTGGGTAGTTGTAGGGGTTGCAGAGAGAGCGTAGCCAACTAATCCCAGTCCATGGCAGGGCTGAGCTCTGTGGTTTGGAGAGCCCTGATCAGAGTCAGAGAGTAAACGGGCCCAGGGTCACACTTGTTCACAACACCAGGACCAAACTAGATTAGTTTTACTGGTCAATCCACTCAGGATTGTCTGATTGTGTTTTATTTATTCAGCTAAAAGCATTAAGCTGGAATGTTGACATTCTTTCGACTTGCTACGTTTTCTGATCTTCCCAGGCTGGTACAGTACGTCATGTAAGTGACATTATTATTAATTGAATCGCTTATCAAACATTGCTAGGTGAAGACAATTAATCATGTCTCGACCAAATATTTTCCTGACGCTCATTATATTTGTTAATTTATCCATGGATCAGAGATCACATCACCCCCAAAAGGTTTGTCCATCCTCTGTCAGCAGACGTTTTTGCCATAGGATACTTTGTATGAACTGATTAAATCATTATTGTGGCTCTTTCTGCTCAACCAATTGCCTGTTCTGTTGTGTTTCTTACACCTGCTTCCATCGTTAACTGATTTTAATGAGAGATGGAGAGAGAGCTACTGATTGACAGCTATAATGACCTCAGTAGTCTTTGTGGGGTGAACATTATGTCAGTAATAACTATGGCCCATTTCATTTTACATTTCTGTGTCCATACTATGTTGCTATTTACAGTACACTTAAACTTCATCAAACTAATTCTTGACGCAATTAGTTGAGATGAGCATGGTCTTAAGACACAGCTGTCTGTCCTGAGGGATGGGGCTCTTTGTAGCCAGGTGCAGTTCAGATTTCACCATTGCCCTGCAGGGCCTGGCTGAATCTGGCTGCCATTGCATAATTTCAGTAGAAACAGAACACATTTTTACTGGATTGCAGAATTTCTTATATAATTTCAGATACATTACACAGCTCTTTAAGCCTTCAGGGAAACTTAATAAAAACCTTACTTTTAAACTCATTTATTTGATTGTTACTGTTTTTGAGATACATTTGGCTCCAAATTCATTTAAACCCAATATACAATGTGACTGAAAGTTGTTTTTAGCAAAGAAAAATGCAAAATGTACATTCAGTATTTTTTGCATAAGTAAATGTGAACAGGAATAATTGTAAGACTATTAGTATTGAATGAAACAAAAGCACAGCTGTTGAAAATAGCTGCATATTTTTCTTAATCACACTCTTAAAATATGTCAAAAATAAAGTGTTCAAATGGAAGCCATACAGTAGTGTACATAGCTCCAGAGATTTCACAGAAGAGTTTAGAAGTCACCCTGAATGCCAAAGGGTGTTAAAGGAGACAAACACAAAAGTAAATCACTGTGTACCACATCATAATAGGAGATGTCAAGAATTGTCCAAAAATCTAAGATAAAATAATATTATACCTTGACAACTCAAGTGACGGCAATACAACATCTTTATCCAGAAATCACAGTTTCATCTGTGGTGTCCAGCATCAACATGTTCAAGACTAATGGGATAGTTGCTGCCCCAACCGAGGAGGTGTAAGACAGAATTGTGATAATTATGTTTACTTTAGGAATTTCCTTTATATTGAAGGTTACAAATTGATCCTAATATACAGTAGCTAACATTTGTGTATATCCTATACCTTTTGTTCTTAGCATAAGAAAGTTTTAAGGGTTCGTAATAATATACCCCCCACCCATTACTCACATTTCTCAGTTGTTATATCCTACAGCTGGATGAAATAATATTACTTTATTTAGATAGATTTTTTACAGAACCAGGCAGACCACATTATTAACATACAGGCTTGGTTTTCCCGCCGATATTTATATGAGATAACACATGCAACCCCAAAAAGTCCAGTACACATAAATTACATAACTAATTAATTTGAGCCTCATATTTGGAATGGGGTGGGAATTGTAATTACAGTAATGGAACATCATGTGTTTAATTCCTGTTAAATTATGTTAAATTGCTGTTAAAACAACTCTGATGGGATTAAACTTTATAGACCAAATGAGTTGTAAGTAATGTGCTGAGCATTTAGAGCACAACTATTAATTTATAAATTAGGGCAATACTGTTCTCCCTTAACGCCAAGCCCCTCAAATAAATACAGGGCTGACTTCTTGTATCCTGACTCATCAGCTCGGAAAAAAAAAAATCACGTCCTGTTTTATCAGAATGATTAAACGTGAAAGAAGTTCTTTCACTAGAAACGAAAGAGCAGAAGCAAGGCTGTAAGATAAGGGTGAAGAAAAGTGACAATGATAGCAAAAATAAAGGTAAAAAAAACAAGGAAGAATCACATCTTAGCCTGTCAGAATTCATTCTATCTAGACAATGTGCGTGCCTCTTCGTTATTTCATTTCATCAGAGAGGACTCACACCATCCAGCCGTAATCTAGTTTTGTGAGGGAGATCTATAGTATAACCTCCAGCCTTCATTCTCCTCTGCCTTGCCTTCCTTACCTAGTGTCTTATGACTTCCCAATTGGTGGGTGGTCTCACTAGCTAAACGAAGGCAGTCAGCAAGGAATCAGAAGCCTGCCAGAGTGAGAATTCCCTATTTGAAGACTGCTTATGTTACTGTACGTGCAGTGCAAATGTTCTCCTTGCTGGTTGGGGGGCTGTCTCTAATGCTATACTGCGCTCGCAAAAGACAGTGGACCTGCAAATCAGTTTGCTAGAAGATTAGTATTGTGTGTGGACTGGCTGTGCTGGCTGCCGATATTTAATTAGCTCTCCACTGTTAGGGAGACTCTACTGCGCTGTTTAAGGAATCACAGAGGAACATATGAAGAGTCTGAAAACACCGAGGTCAGACAAAAACAAGCTTTGAGAAGAGACCCACTTCGGCACAACTTGCATCCTGTGTTTAAGTTGTGTTTAAGTTATTCAAGTGAGCCTGCTTAATTCCTTGCTTAAATTGTGGAGAGCTCCTTTTAAAAGAAGTCATTCATGACTCTGGGGAATGTTATTTGTTTTTTTTTTCTAAAGATCAGCCGAACTGAGAGGAACTAATACTACCTGACATGCAGCTACAGAAAGGAAACAAGACCACTGGACACAGGCTTGACAGCTCTCAGAGACATCAGACTGTGGATTATATCTGCCATTGATCCTGTGTTTAAAAAAACACGTTTAATGACTGCTGGATCAGGTAGGGCACTTCTGGGCAATGAAAATCTGAAATACTCTAATGAGTTCAGGATACACTTTCTGTTTAAAGCAACACAAAATTTAGCCACCTTCTGTCTTTAGTGCAAATGGATTTTCTGTTTCGCAAAGGACAGACAAAGGCGTGTGTTTAAAATACAGGAGGAACCTACAGTATAACAACTTGTTTTTGCGATAAACCTATGCTGTAAACTGTAAACATACAATCTGCAGCTCTGCTTATGTGATGTAAAGTATTTCTTTTCTCAAACCATGTTCCATCTGAAGCCGACAGACATGTTGCAAATATCTTTCTTTTTTGCATCATATAATGTCAGTAAGTTATACAGAATCTTTATTACCTGGAGATAGGTGGGACGACTCAAGAGTCCTTATATATCCCAGCAATATGCATTTTATCTCTGTCTCTATTTGCTGTGGAAGGATGACTTAGGAATGCATCCATGGGTTTTTCAAGGCAGTGAGGACCCATGGCTTACTTTTGTATGTGATCTGTGACAAAGGAGCGGTGATGATCACACATCCACCAGCCAGGAATGTGTCCTTTTGTGGTTCTCCTGCATCCTTCTTCAGGTAGCAAGCTCTGCACTCTGTCAAGCCTTACACGAGAAATATTCAAATAGAAAAAAAGTCATTAAAAAATGAACTTTTCGGAGGTGAGCAGTAACAGCTCCAACCTGACGTCCGTTTCCTTCGTCCCGCTGAACCTTGACCGCAGACCGCAGAAGCCGGAGTTCCTGCTGGGCAAAGCCAACGGCTCCCACCCCTGCAACACCAGCATGGACGCCAGAAACCTGTCGGACCTGTCGTGCGCCGAGGGCCCGGCGCCGCAGTGCTTCTCCATGGTCTCCCTCCTCGACAAGAACTGGCCGGCTCTGCTCACCATCGCCGTCATCGTCCTGACCATTGCAGGGAACATCCTGGTCATCATGGCTGTGTCTTTGGAGAAGAAGCTACAGAATGCTACCAATTACTTCCTGATGTCTCTGGCCATCGCCGACATGCTGCTGGGTTTCCTGGTGATGCCTGTCTCCATGCTCACCATCCTGTATGGTAAGTCCTCACAATCGATGCCATTTAACATGCCTGGGTGCAGACAACTGACCCACACACGGGCACAGAGGTAGCTAGATATTGCCTGTTGCTTGCTATGACTCATTCATAAAAGGGCAGAGACGCACATTGCTCCCCCCAGAGAAGTACACCTAACTACAAAAAAAAACCCATTCATGTACTCAGCAGAGTATGGCTAGCTTTAAATGGACCTTGCTTTCACTCTACTAAAATTGAATTTACCGGTCTAGACTCCATAAGGCGCACGTATCCTTATGGTGAGGACGTGCTTTCACATTGAGTTCTCCACTGAAAAATTAAAAAAGAGACGCTTGAACTCTTCCAGCCTATAATAATACTTCTGCATTCACAGATGACACACCGCACTGCTTTCTGTGACAGTAGATAAAGGGCATTTAGCTTCTTTCTTTATATACCTTCTTCGTATCTTAACCATCCTCGTCTGTTCATCTGTTCATTATTAGATATCTCTTTAAAATCCAGGGACTTTCTCTTTGCAGTTTCAAATGTCAAACTGTTTTCCCTTTAACAGCCAGTATTCCTTGAGCTTTTAGTAGCTAGCTGACTTGCTACAAGGCACCAATGTAGGAAACCAGTCTAAAGATGTTGTGCTGCAAAAATGGCCATTTCACTAGCATAAAAAATCACCAGAAAAAACATACAGGAAGTAAATGATATTTCACAATGATTAGACTTATTTAATATACTGTACTGTACTGTAGGTGGTGCACATGTTCTTATGTATGAGCTTTCTAAGGATATTAATTTACATCTTGCAATTGTTTATTTAATTCCAGTTGGAATTCTGCAGATTTGTTCATAGTAGTTATTGTAAAAAAGGCAGGAACAGTTGTTTTCATTTTTAGATTTTGCTTCAGACATACAGTACTAGTATTCTATTGCTTGTATATTACATTGCAAAATCAGCTTTCCAAAATATAATTATTGTGGCACTTGTCATTGTATTTTGTGTTTGTTACACAGTAAGCACATAAACCACTGAATCTAGTTTTGAAATGTAAGCTTTTGAAATTTAAATAAACTGTACATTGTCTTCACACTTTATGTGATCACTGATTGTATACCTTTTTTCAGTCATTACAAACCATGGGGCATACAGATTAGATTAGTTTGATTAGTTTAAGTTGTTACTGTTGATACAGTACTGTTGATATTAACACATAAGTATTGTAAATCACTCTGGATAAGAAAACCTGCCTATAATAATAATAATAATAATAATAATAATAATAATAATAATAATAATAATAATAATAGGTGGTGGCCTCTAGTGGTAGAATCTGCATACATACTGTACAAAATTTAAATCTTTACAAAATGTTGTTTGTTTCAGCAACATCTGCCATCTTTCCTTCTGTCTCCATCTTGATTGACATCTTCAGAATGTTATATTTGCTTTCAGCAAATTACGAGGAGGCTCTGGACCAGCAAACAGGCCTCCAGCTAATTTACCACTCGGGCCTTGTGAGCAGACCCCCGCGTCCCTCTGCATGTGTAGAATGTCAAGACACTTGAGGCTCACATGTCTCCTGGGTCAAACGCCAAGCCTTCCACCCGGCCCGCTGACCGTCTGCCTGCACGTTTCACACTGAGTCCGAATACGACACGCTTGCACAAATCAAACTGATTCTTCCAAGTTCTTTAAGTAAATACTTGACACACGAAGCTCCAGGGGTTAGGACGTTCCTTGATACCGGATTCTTATTCCTGAAGTTTCTCCAAACTACGCATTAAATACAATTTTTCAGGTATTAATTCCTTACTCATTGGTGAAGGGATGTTTTAAAATTCTATTTTCACTTCTTTTTTGTCCCAGATCCTCATTTCAAGAATAGCCAGAGTACTTGTTCCTTTCATTTCTTTCATTTTGGTTTTAGTACTTCTTCAGTGCGATATCATCAGTACTGTTTTTCAGACTGCCTGATATTTCAGACTTGTATTGATGGTCATTGTAGTCTATTTATTCCTAAAAGACACTTGAGAGTGCAGCTTTCTGGTGCAACACACAATAACCACAATAACACAATAAATACACAATAAATAAAACATATCATTTTTCACTTCCAGAACAATCTGTGTGGTTTCTTCTCCCTTGTGTTTTTTGCCTGTCAGTCTGCTCCTTGGTATGTGGATGCACTTTCATAACAATGTACAGTAAATGTAAATATAGTTGGAATGGAATGAAACAGTGGAGTGGTAATTAGCACTGCTGCCTGACAGCTCTTGGGTCCTGGGTTCAATTCTGGACAGGGGCACATTATGTGTGAAGTTTGCATGTTGTTTCCAGCTGTGCTTGAGTTTCCCTCTGGTTGCTCTGGTTTCTTCCTACTGTCCAAACACAATCAGGTTAGGTAGGTTAATTGATCACTTAATTGTCCCTGTTAATTTGTTGCCAGCAGCCATATCACTCTGCAACTCACAACTGGCAGCCCACTGAAGCTCAGAAGGTGAGAGCCTGGCCAGTACCTGGATGGGAGACCTCCTGGGAAAAACTAAGGTTGCTGCTGGAAGGTGTTAGTGGGGCCAGCAGGGGGCGGTCACCCTGCGGTCCATGTGGGTCCTAATGCCCCAGTGTAGTGACGGGGACACTATACTGTAAACAGGCGCCGTCCTTCGGATGAGACATAAAACCGAGGTCCTGACTCTCTGTGGTCATTACAAATCCCAGGGTGTTTCACGAAAAGAGTAGGGGTGTAACCCTGCTGTCCTGGCCAAAATTTTCCATTGGCCCTTACCAATCATGGCCTCCTACTAATCCCCCTCTATGAATTAGCTTCATCACCCCACTGAGAGCTGGTGTGTAGAGAGCGTTCTGGCACACTATGGCTGCCGTCGCATCATCCAGGTGGAGCTGCACATTGGTGGGGGTGGATCCCCATTACCTGTAAAGCGCTTTGAGTGGAGTGTCCAGAAAAGCACTATATAAGTGTAAGCAATTATTATTATTATTATTATTATTAATTTGTGTGCATGTGCCCTGTGATGGACTGTCATCCTGTCCTGTCTTATGATCAATATGTCCAGCTCAGGCTCTTGGTTACCTCAGCCCTTACCAGAAATGAGTGGCTTTTCTGAAATTAGATGGATGCCTGGATTTCACAGCTTTCAGTAGCTGTCACTCATGTGTTTCCTTACTGTGTCTTATGGTCACAAAAATGTGTGGGCACAACAAAAACGGCAAATGTATGAGGTGGATGAGAGACTTGTTTATTTGCTGTGTATATCACATTAAAATAGCCATACCATTTGGAGAAATTTAAGATCAGTTGTAAGGCTGAGCAGGCAGCTTTAAAAACATTGTCGTCAATTAAGAGAACAAATACATATTTAATAATTGAAAGAAGAAGAAGACATAGTCTGTATATCCTTGGACAAAACCTAATGGAAACATTCTATCTGAATCTCAGTGTACAGTGGAAACTGAAAAGCAACTTGTTCATTTTATCATCCTCTTCCTACTGAGGCAAACCTACATTTTTCACTTTCAGTGGAGAGCAAGCTGTTAATACTGTGCATTCTGAAGAAATGGAGGGGTGTTTAATATATAAAAATAAAAAGCCCTGCAGACTTTAAAGAATGGCAGCATAAGTTCTTTCCTTTCTGTAAATGATTTGCTGTTATTAAGGTTTTAACATTTTGAGTCTTCAGAAGTTATTGTTGGCAGGTCGGTCCCTTTTCAGGCCTTCAAGGCTCAGGGGCAATGGGGGGCAAGGGCCACCATCTTTCTTGACCATCCGACACTGGAGGTGGAGGTGATGAGGTCAGCACCACACGCCAGCCAGCCTGTTACCCCCAGAAGGATTAACCCCCAGTACTCTAGTGGAAAGCAGGCTGAGTGGACCTGGGAGCCCTCTGGAAGGAATGAGAGCTACATCACCTGCCCCTACCTGGGATTGAACCCAGAACCTTCCGGTCAGGAGCTAGACACCCGTGTGCTCACCTGAATGTTTTCTAAATGCCTGCATTGCAAAAACAAATGTAGGTACTTCCTTAACAAAACAGACTGAAAAAATAGACATTGCATTTTATTTCTTAATTGTATTGCCCAAGACGTTTTTGAGAAAGCAGCAGATTTACTCTTGACTTGAGCAACCAATTTGAATTCTGTAAGACAGGAAATGGGACTGGATGATACAAGCATGATTCTATCCAAATCACGTCAACTGTTCACCCAAACATGCAAAACTGAAATTTGAATGTGCCATTTGTGGGATATTTTCTGTTTGTCAACAGCTCCTGTGTCTGTTTCTTTGAAATGGCAGCAGCAGGCCATACTGGGACATACTCTAGACATATAGGTTAATATTCAATCATAGTTAATTTATTAATATATTCTGTTGCATTCTAAGTTTATTTATTCTGACTTGATTAGCTTGATTTAATTAGTTTAATGCTCTTGCTCATTATATGGTATTAGCAGAAATACTGTTGTACATATTCATGATACATAAAAATCTTTAGTTCAGTTGCATTTAAAAAAAATAAATTACAATATTGAAAGTGTGTTGATTAAGTTCAAAAAGGAGACTTGCTGCAGGTTTCAGAGTGACACAACCTTACTACCTTTGCATTCTAGTCCAAAAATAAACAACTTAGTTGTAGCTGATCTGTTTTTTCACAGTTTTAATTACAATGATTTTGTTTTGAATTATTTTCTGTAATAAGGTTTCAAACAGCTCCGGAAAAGTCCAGTAAAATTAGATTCCTCACATTGGTCATACGTTATTCTTCAATCTATCAAAACAGCATGTGCTTTCACCTTTAATCTGCATTTCTCAATGTTCGTCAAGTGGTAATTATGATATTGCACAAAAGCTCAATGCCATTTATTTTCTGCCCTATGCTGCAGTCTTCACATGAGCAAAACAAAAGAATTAATGCTCTAAAAATGTGTCCCTGCTGAACACACGCATTTACTATTTTATGAAAAGGCCATTGCTTCAAGTAATTTTGCATGA